AATGCACACAGAAGGTTGACTCGGTGGAGGAGATGGAGCTTCTCCACAGGGAATTCTGGCAACAGAATTTCCAAATCTCCCCTGCCGCGAACGTCCGATTTGACCACACCACAGAGACCGAGGTAATACACTACCTACACCAACACAGAAACACAGTTCTCCCAGAAAACATCATTAGACTAAACAATCTCACAGAGGACAGTCCCCTCTTCACACCTATCATGCCAGAAGAAATAATTAACACCATCAAACACACCAAAAATACAATACCATGAGCAAGCAACATCAACAAAACTATCATAGAACATCTGCCACCCATAATGATCCGCAGGTTTGCCATATTTTTAATGCGGCATTGGCTACAGGATATTTCCCCGACAAATTCAAACACGCCACCATCACTCTCATTCTGTAGTCGGGGAAGTCAGCACATGAGGTGGAGAATTACCGCCTCATTTCACTGCTGGAAGTTCCCGGGAAACTGCCAATGAGGCTAATAACACGCAGACTCATCACACATCTGGAAAACAACAAACACAACAGTAGGCAATACGGCTTTCGCTCTCGCTTACGAGATTGCTCTCGGTCTCGTTAACAAGCACCAGATAAACATTATTCAACGAGACATCAGCAAGGCCTTTGATAAGGTCTGGCATGACGGTCTCAAATACAAATTAACACAATTACAACTCCCTACACATCTCACACGCCTCCTCTGCAGCTTCCTGGACCACAGGACTGCCACAATACGCCTGGGCTCACACCTGGGCGCCCTCCTCCACCTCAGAAGTGGAGTACCACAGGGAAGTGTTCTATCACCAACCCTGCATATCCTGTACAAAGCCAATCTGCCACAACCTACACCTTACAGCAACTATATTTCTTATGCAGACGATATCACACAGATAATCTCACACCCCTCTAAATCACAACACATCATGAAACGAACAACAGAAAGAGCTATACAGAACATTAACACCTTTGAGCACCATTGGGAAATACAAACAAACATCAGTAACTTCAAAGTCATGCACATAGCACGCAAAACCTCACAATCCATCACAACCAGCAACATCAACATCCCATAGACAGAGGAAACATTCTTGGTTTTCACTTCACTTTTCACCACAGGCTTCATATAACACGTCACACAACGAATCACACAAGCGCGCACAACATTCACCAAACTCAGTTTCTTCTCATGCTGCACACCATAAACAAAGCTCAGACTATAAAATAACTGTCAGACCTAATCTTGAATACACATCTGTCCCACTAGTTACAATATCTATATCTAACTCACAAAAACTCATAATGCAATCAGTACAGAGCAAAGCACTACTCTGGATACACAGCGCAAAAATTTTAGACTCAATTCCTTCAGAAACATTACACAGAACATACAGCATAGAACCACTTGACACACACATAAACAGACGAGCTAAACACACCTGGTGCCTAGAACATAAACACTCATACAAAACGTAACACCTCCTCTCATGTACGCACCCAGATAACACTTGAGCTATAAACATCCTGCCATATTTCCATGTTTAGGGCTATAAAAAATAGATGAAAATAAAAATAAATAAAACCAGAAGTCACCCTCAGAATCCCCAAAGGATTTGCTAATCCACGCCACGCAGGATGGAGATGTTCTACGGAAAAAGGGAGAAAAGAAATAAATAATACTCCTAAAAAGAAGAAAAAGAAAAGAAAAGAAAAAAAGTGTATATATATATATATATATATATATATATATATATATATATATATATATATATGTATATACATATATCGTTCATTGTTATCTTCTTTTATGTTCTTAAATACTACACCCATAACCATAACCAGCCTCCATTTATGCCCAACAGTTTGTACATATTTACAGTCACTTTGTTAATTTGCTTTTCGTCCGTTTCTTTTGCACTATTTCATTCTTGTTTACTGTTTTGTCGTTATACTCTTTTTTGTTTTTGTTGCTATCACCCTTATCACCATTATATTATTTTATGCAAAAACGTTCACTTGTTCAAGTGTAAAAGTAAAAATAAAATATAAAATAACAAAAATAAAATCCATAAAATTACTTACTTTTAATAATAAAAATAAATAAATAAGTAAATGAAATAATGAAAATAAAAACCCAACAAAAATCTTTCTTGTTCTTCGTTAAATACTAATAATAATAATAATAATTCCCGTTCACTGGATTTGCCAGCATAAACATAAAAATGAAATATAAAAAGTATAAAAATAAAATCATAAATATGTTCTTGAGTTCACTTCCCATAACACTTGCCTCTTTCCTCTCCAAATGATACTAACAAAAACAACTTCTGTCACTTTCACCACATTACCTCCCCCCTCCTCTATTATTCACCTCTCTATTTTACTTGTTTCATTGGGCGAAGATATAGTGCTTTCACCGAAGAACAAGCATAGTTCGCTCGCTGCCGAAGCTTTGTCCCTTGGTAAGTAATTTCTAAGTTTTAGTTGTAGTCTGTGTCCGTACCTCTAAGATCATCTTTACATCACTAAAATGAAATATATGTCTTTCATTGGATAATATTTTCCGTGCTGTTGGTATAATTCACATGTAAGTGTTGCGATACAAGTTTATTCTAAGATATCTTTATATACAAAACCTTAAATTCTATGTTTTCTATATTTTCAGTCTCCAACTTTGGTATGTACTTTCTGAGTTTTAGTTATGAAATCTATATCTGTGGCTCAATGCTATAATTAAAATATGTCTTGCTTTATTTGATATATAAATTCTGTTTAGTCATGCTTTAAGTGCACATGCGCTGATGCACGCCTTTATTGATGTATGCTGAACCTTTGAGTAATTGCACTTTTTGAGTGTATGAAGGTTTGAATGTTGTGCCGAGCCCTAACTAATGCAGTTACGCAGTACTGAAGAGTGGGTATACTGTTATTATTTTTAGTTGAAGACTTTTATGGAATCCCTTGGCTGTTGTTTGAAGTTGCGATTAGTCTTTTGGAATCTGATTGTTTTTCATGTGTTACAGATCAAGGAAATACCGGTGAGATATGTATGTCATTGATTGAGCGCGAAGAGATACAACCTTCTAAGAAAAGAAGGTTGTCAACAACCGGCGAATCGGGGCAGGTCATTGATATTCGTTCTCCGAGCACTTGTGCAAGCGAGGTTCGTTCTCTGAGCCCGTATGCAAGCGAGGAAGGACATAGTACTCTTCCGTTCGACGTGGGTTCGCCAAAAGAGAAAAAAAAGATACAGAAAGAAGATTGTCAACAACTGAAAGAGATAAGACTTTTCGTTTGGCGAGGGTTTACCACGCAAGACCAACCCCGTTTTACTCAGTCCTCGGTCGCCTGCGTATCATCCTGGTATGTTGGCTAATGGGCCAAGGGCATCGTCGGGTTGCGCGGTTCCCTCGTCTTCACCTTTGCCTTCCCCGAGAGACTGCTGTGAACTCGGGCGGTAAAGAGCAAGAAAACGGGCCAAGAGATAGCGGTTTTCCTCTTTCACCGGTCAAGAGGAATAGACAGGAAACTGTCTCTTAGAAAACCGGGTAAAATGTTAACCCAGAATATGTCCCCGGCTGGTTTGTTGACACAGTCGATGGATGTAGATTTGTGGATGTCGCCCGAATAAAATAATAAGTATATGTTCTAGTTTTATGATCCTTTGAGATGTCTAATATTATTTACAATAGTTACTTTCAATATAAATTCAAGTAAATTCATTATGCAGAAGCATTATGGACAATTATCGCATGCATAAGAAACTTATTACATCTGCGCATAGATAGATAGAGGGAAAGACTTTCAATAATCATTTGACTACTTCTTAACCATGGTAAATACAATAAATGATCTTACATTACAGTAGGTAAGAGTTAAGAAATTCTGGAAGTCGCAGGCCAACACAAAATACCCTATGGTTACCTGTACCCGCTGTGGTAAGCCAAGTCAGATAACTTGGATTATCACACTGTAATCACAGGCTTAGTACAAGCTGAGACGTCAATCAGCAGACGAGCATCAACCCTGTAATTACTTGGTACGAAGTGAGAAGTCAATTTACCCGAGTAGAAAGTAGGTAGTTAGCCCATATGGACACCCCCTCATTTGCCGCTAGGCAGGCTCATTTACCAGGCAGGCAGGTAGGCACATCCAAGGGATGCAGAAATAAGTGCCATTTATGATACTATTGACAGTCATGGCATGTCATGGGTTACATATCTTAGACTTAATTGAGGATCATTAAAAGCAATTAGCAGTTGGGGGTGCGTTTACCACACGGCAATTATCTAGCTGGAATGAAGAGGTGTGTAAGGT